CCACTATGCAAATGTTGTCTTTCTGCTTTCACTATGAAGCGTGAGTTATCATTGCTTTTGACTGCCATAGACATCAAATTTTTGATCATACGTTGTCCACTTATATTTATCAGGTTAAACTAATAGTTACATTTCATTGATATCATATATTTTGCATGTCCAGCCCCAGTGTCCCAATTTGTACCACTGGGCACCACATAGTATTATCTAACATAATGTACAGATGGTCCTCTCTCTTTCTTCTTATTGTTTTCCACTGTCCAAATCTGATAATATCATGAAAAATTGCTTACTATTATATCAGTGATAAAGTATTACAAGCCAGTTATTCATGGGGAAAATCCAAGTTTCTAAATGTAAGCCACATTAAAGCAGATTGTGGAATAAAATTCAGGATCAAATGTAAGCAATTAATTGCTGTCATAATTGAAGGAAGGGAAGAAGAAAAATTAGTAGATTCAGATAAAACAGAACAGACCTCCCATCTCTGTTTCCCGTACTTTCTTGCATCACACTGAGCACAGAGTGATTTCATTAGGGTGTGTTAGGAACACACTAAGAGAACCCAGGCTCCTGACCATTGTGCTCCTACATTTTTATTTTAGGTATCCAAAAGTACACCATTGCATTTCTGAATTTTGTTAAAGATTAAATCTTGGAAGGTTTATTGTCTTCACTTTTTGCTTTGTTGATCATTTGGTTGAGATTAAATAGTTTTCCAAGGATCTTTGTATACAGTGTCCTTCAGTTCAGTTCAGTCGCTCAGTCGTGTCTGACTCTTTGTGACCCCATGAATCGCAGCTCGCCAGGCCTCCCGGTCCATCACAGACTCCCAGAGTTTACTCAAACACATGTCCAATGCCCTTAGATAACAACAAAACTAGATATGCTTGATATATAATTCAGTATGACACTAGCCCTCATGAATGACAAGAGATACTTATAAAGTTACTAGCAATGATAATTACATTACATATAGAAATTATTCAACCTTTAATGTAGCAAGGGACAATTCCTTGTGCAGTGTAGGCATTTTATATTGTATATGTTGAATAAATGACAAAAGATAGTGTAACTAAGTTATATGTGAACATGCTTTTGTAAAAACTTAAATTCTTAGTTGTGAAGCATACTATATCATTTACACTTAATTTATTCTTCAATCTGTCAGTGTGTATACACACACACAGAAAATACACACACACACACATATATATGGATTTCAGGTTTGTACTAAGTGCAAAATATATATGCAATTTGTAACACGCACATATATTGTACTCATATATGTGTGTATGTGTGTTTTAACAGTATATGAAATATACATATTTATATGGCACTCAGTATAAACTTGAAATCATTTTATCTTTTAACTTATTACCAGTTGGTTATCAAAGAAATCACCTTTCTTGCCCTCGTTGTTTCAAATCAGGTAAGAGGGTACGATTGAGAAATAGAGTTGATCTCTTACAGCACTGTAGACCGGTGCTATTAGCCAACTTGCTGCCATTCTCATAAAAATTATGCAGTTTAAACGGGGAGATGCTAGTGCTTGCTTCTATTAGAAACAAGAACACTCTTCTACTTCATAATATGCTCAATTACCTTTAGATTGATCCATGAATAAATTATAGTCCAAATAGACTTCTTTACCTTAAAGCTTTGCCGGCTTAAGGTATCCTTGTTGATTCATTATGTTGTCACTTTTCTATCGGCAATATAATGCTTTTAATATCTGGATAGAGACAGTTTTAGTGTGAGATACTGTTATCTTTAAATGAGTAGGATTTAGCTTTTCTGGTGAGGACAAATTCATCAATGATGGATCCCTGGAGAAACTATTGAAACAAAAATCACACCATTTCTGAGCTTTGTTCAGCTCATCAGTTACAAAGCAGCTTTTGAGAGTCCTAAAGAACTTTTTCTTTTGTTTAAGAAATATAGCATGACGCTCAAACCTCTCACTTGGAGTTACCGCAGGCTACAACTTTTTCTGCAAGAAAATAATGAATGAAGAGGAAAAGCTCCTGCTGCTGGCTCTGTCAGGGCCTGCTGCTTCTCCTCCTGAAATAGGAAATCAATTAACTGTATGTTCGGGCAGAGATTTGAGCTAAATGCTTTATTAATCATCGCTGATTGCACACGTATACAGTGGCCCACTATGCCTTCACCTTCACTCTTTCTTATTTTTATTTTGCTCTGGTTTGTCCCTTTGGCAAGATCTAAACACAGACATATGCCTAAGTGCAATATATGGTCCTCAGATGCAAGGCGCAATTGATCTTTTTTATTTTCAGAAAACTTAACTTTTCAAATGTTCAGTTCTCAGCTATCTTGGAGGCATTTAAATATGAGCAACATAATAATATTTTTTTAAAGCACTGAAATTTCTTATACTAATGCAGAAAGCAAAATGACTATGGAAACCTTGAACTTTTGGAAGCTGCTCCTACACTTCAGTCTCCACATGGCAGTGAGAAACTGCATGCAGATAGACCCTCATTGATTTGGAGATAAATGGCAGAACATCGAAGGGGCAGCCAGTGATCTGTGTGGATGTGCTGTCAATTTAAAGAAAACTTTGAAAAGCGTTTTCTTTATTTTCCACTGTTTTCTTCAGCCAACACACAGAGAAAATCCTGTAAGAATTGTTATGTTAAATTGAGAACCTCTCCTTAGGATTAATTATGAAAGATTAACACATTATAATTATAGCACCATTAGTCATGAAAAGGCTGCATTAGTTAAATATGGCAAATATGGTCAGCCACTGCCAAAAAAAAAAAACTTGCACCAAATAACAAGTGGTTGGTGTCTGTGCAAGCTGTATTCTATTCTGCATCAAACGATTTTTCTATTATTATTATTATTACCATTACTGGAACAATTTAAACAATCACAGTTTAAATTTAACTACTTTATTTCTCTTTGGATAAACAATAATTTAAATAGAAAAGAAATATCTCCTCTGGTCTATGTTTAAAAGTAGACTAACAAGTTCCAAGGATGATTTCTTTTGAATAACGTTCTAGAACTTTTAGGTGGAATGAGACAGTGTTGAATAAGGTAAGACCCTGTCAAGGAAGAGGATAATGGTTCAGATTTTCGTAAAACTTGCCTTCCTATGAGGGATCTGCTAGCCTCAGAGGTCATGTGTTTCACACTAACAAATTTTGATAATCTTCAAGGATGTAAGATTAGGGTGAGAGTGTCCTTGATGTAGAAGTGTGGTGAGAGTGATATTCTGACAAGATTTGTATCAAGTGGACATGCATTCACTGCCTTCTGAGGTGTTATCAGGGCCCTAAGGGGCATTGCACCAAGTGTAATCCCTAACGCCTCATGTGCCAGGGGAAAGGGTCATTTCAGTAGAGGAGACTCTAAGCAAGCTTATCTTTTCTATATTAAAGGGCCCTAAATATGTGATAATATTAAGGATTTGTTTTATACTCGATGCGTTTTAATAGGACAGCATCACTTACTTTATGATAAAATAGATACAATATATTCATATATTCTCTCCCTCCATCATATCATTTCATATTACTCTAATCATTAAATATAGTAATTTAGGAAAGCATTTAGGTGCGGAGATGAAGTGTATAGTTCTGGTTTAATTGTATGTAAATTAAATTGGCATTCATAGCATTGTTTCTATTTCCTCGACTTGACATAATTACAGTAAATTGATAATGGAAGTAACAATCTTAGGTAGTTACACATGAATCTTTTCTGCCAATATAAATTTCCAGGTGCAGTTTGGCTGAATTGTAACATAGTTCAAGTTTAGTTAACCTACCCTACTGACATCTCTAAAGGACAAGAGAACTCACTTTCCTAGGGCATTATGCAGCCTGGCAGGTAGAGGCCAGTGTTTTAAAACAACTATGATTTTGTACCAAAGTACTTGCTAGGTCAGAGATCAGTATGACCTTGGAGTGCTGTAGTTTTCCAAGCCTCCATCGGCTAGATAAATGTGCTTTATTCTGCAGGAGAGGTGGGAGGGGGTTATTTTTGCAGTCTTAGAAAAGAGACCTAGCAGTTCCAGGTTACAAGCAAACACAAAACATTTGGAATTCAATGGTGTCTATCATCAGCAGTATATGTCAGTAAAAGTGCAGATCAAAGGTTCTAGAAGAGAAGGACAAAGTGAAGGGGAAATAATTGTAAGATAATGAATAATAGGAGGGCATATTCATGTTAACTTGAAACCACTTAGCATTTTCCATGACATCCAGGTATCTTTCTAAATGAACTTTGTAAAGTACAATTGAATAACCTTGAGATTTAAAGCTACATAATGCGATTTTGAATACTGATGGAGTTTGTTTAAGCAATGTGATATTTCTTCTGCTTTTCATTTCTATTTTTGCCACCTTCATGCAAATAAAGTTTATTTTCTGTACAGAGAAATCAATATTTTTACCATTCTGTTTTTCAGCTATTCCAGTAGACTGTAGTCAACATTAGTTTCAATCTTTAAAGAGATGTAGTAAGAATTTGAACACAATAAAATAGAGATACAGATTAGAACTTTGGCCAAGTATCTTTGCTATTGACAAAAGCATTTGTCAGAGACTGGGCTGTGTCTATACTGTGCTAAAAACCTGATGAAGAGGAAAAAAACCATCAATAGGTTTCACTTTCTGTCCATATGAACTGAACAAATGGTCTAACTAATAGCTATTGTTTTAAGTGAATCGTCTGATTTTACCATTGTGAATTTTATTCCGTTTTTAGAGATGTATTTTAAATTAACATTTGTATATATAACACATATATACTTGGTAACGGTATTGTGATATTGTGTTCTTTTTAATAATTAATGAAATCTAATACCTAGAAGACTAAAGGTCCAAGAATGAAGACCTTGTTGCAGTTTACCTGAACCAGTCTCCAAACACACATTTTGTTTGTTCGTAATATTTATGTGTTTATATTCTCACATTTTTCTATTCTGTGAACTAACATACTTTATTGTTTGTGTGTTTTCCTATTAGAAACTGCCAAGTTTCGGACCTTATCTTGAGAAGCGCAAGAAAATCATAGCAGAGGAAAAGTTTAGACTGAAAGAAGAAAATGCTACCTTTCCACCACTTGAGAGAAACCATTTTATCCCCAAAAAAACTATTCCTTCTGTTAAGGTAAAGATTAAGCTGTGTTTGTGTGTGTATTTATATATATATATATATATATATATATGTCTATTTTACTGTTTAGTTTGTGTTTATTTACTGTTTAAATACATCACTGTTTTTATTTTTAAAATATATTGAAAGTTTAAAAATTTTTGTCTGTGATAACAAGATAGCCTCTTTTGTATGCATGCATGCTCAGTTGCTAAGTTGTGTCTGACTCTTTTGCAATCCCATGGACTGTAACCCACCAGGCTCCTCTGTCCATGAAATTTCCCAGGCAAGTATACTGGACTGGGTTGCCATTTCCTCCTCCAGGGGATCTTCCTGTCCCAGCGATCGAATCTGTGTCTCCTGCATTGCAAGTAGTTTCTTCACCGCTAAGCCACTGGGGAAGCCCTGCATGATCAATATGCACCATCAATATCAACATGGTACCTTACATTGTAGAAGAACTTTCTCCACTTCAGCCTAGGAAAGTCTGTTCAAATTTGGGTTTTATAATTATTTTCTGGATAATATCAAAAATTATTATTAAGATGGAATTATGTGTGCATTCTATTTCTTGTTTTTCTTCAACTTTTTCATTTGAAAGAGATGTAGATTCACATACAGGTGTAAGAAATAATACAGAGAGGTCTTGTGTACCCTTTACATAGTGTCTGCAATGTAGCATGTTGCACAACTGTAGTGCAGTATCAACCAGGAAAATGACAGAGATACAATCTACTGATCGTATTCAGATTTCTCCAGTTGTACTTCTTCTCATTTGCATGTGTGTGCATAAATGTGTGTTTAGTTCATGCAATTTCACCCCATGTGTAGGGTCCTGTGTGCACCACGGGCAGATACAAGATTTCCATCAGCATAAAGAACCCTCAGCTTGCCCCCTTATAGCCACATCTACTTCACTCCTGCCCACCTCCCTCAAGATGGAATTATTTTAAAGCAATAATAATGGGAAAGAAGGGAAGCGGGGGAGGATTACAGGCCCACGTTCTCTCTGAAATCACTGTCACTGAATGTGCTTTACATTCACTGAAATTTATTCTTCTCTTTTCGGTGACTACCTACTCCTACATCCCCATTTTCCGGTTGAAGCATCAGTTGAAAAGCTTGCTCTTAGGAGTTTTCTGGAATTCCTCTTTAGTAGTCAAATAGAAATTGGAACCCTTAAAAATGTCTTCTACCTATGAAAGAGAAAAATATGTGCCCTATAAAAAAACAGTGGAATTTTTACTTGATGTTGGGAGGGTTAAATGATTCAGAGTTCTGAAACGAAATATGGAAGTGGCTGAACACAAATTCTACTAGCACTTCAATGCCATAATTCCAAATAAAGTGAACACTTGGGACTTTCAACAATAAAATAGCCTCAAAGAGTCTCTTGAGCTGTTTCCTTTAAATTATTTGTGTGCTACTAAAAGGATGATGTGGACACAGATGATAAAGAAGCTGGATCCTTCAGCTCTTCACAACTGCCTCCCATGTTTAACTATAACTACTGTATGATTTGGGGTCAAGTGGGAATTCTGGGTCTGTTTCTCTAGTTAATTAATCTGAAGTAAACATAAGATCTCCATCTTTGCTGTATGTATAAAAGAATCAAAGTAAAATATTATTTATATTTGAAATAAAAGAAATGTAATGTAAAAGCATTGCAACTTTTTCCAGTCTTCTATTCCTTCATAGCATCCAGTCCTATCACTTCATGGCAAATAAATTGGGTAAAGTGGAAACAATAACAGACTTTATTTTCTTTGGCTCCAAAATCACCATGGATGGTGACTATAGCCATGAAATTAAAGACACCTGCTCCTAGGAAGAAAAGCTATGACAAACCTAGATAGCATATTATAAAGCAGAGACATCACTTTGCCAACAAAGGTCTGCATACTCAAAGCTATGGTTTTTCCAGTAGTTATGTATGGATGTGAGAGTTGGGCCATAAAGAAGGCTGAGCACTGAAGAACTGATGCTTTCAAATTGCGGTGCTGGAGAAGGCTCTTGAGAGTCCCCTGGACAGTGAGGAAATGAAACAAGTCAATCCTAAAGGAAATCAACCCTGAATATTCATTGGAAGGACTGAGGCTGAAGCTCTGATACTTTGGCCACCTGATTCGAAGAGCCCACTCATTGGGAAAGACCCTGATGCTGGGAAAGATTGAGGGCAGGAGGAGAAGGTGGCGACAGAGGATGAGATGGTTGGATGGCATCCCTGACTCAATGGGCATGAATTTGAGCAAACTCCGGGAGACGGTGAAGAACAGGGAAGCCTAGGGTTCTGCACTTTATGGGGTTGCAAAGAGTTGATCACAACTTAGCAACTAAACAGCAACAAATTCCTTCAGGAAATGTAGAAGCAAAACAAAAAGAGAACAAACAAAGGACCTGCTGTAGTTGAATTAAAGCTAGCTAATCACTAATCCAAATAAAATATCAAACTGAGCAGAATTTAAAAAAAACCAAAGAAATGGGAAGTCAAGAAAATAAGTAAGCATTGTTTTTAAATTCTGAAGGAGAGATGAGGTGTCTTATTAGAAGTAATACAGGCTGACATTTCTATTCTAAATTGTCATACTTCAGATCTAAACTGAATTATCCCAAGTATTACTGTACATTAAGCCTCAAGACACTGTGGATACCAACTTCCTATCATCTAAGACCATAACAATGTTGACTGACAAATTAAAGGGTTGCTATGGTAGATTTTTCTCACTGTCAAGTGGGTTTGCTACTACCTCTTCTCCCCAGGATGCACATACCCATTCTACCATTATCACTTTTAGGAAAACATTGTGTCATAGAAAGCATAATAGGAACTGATATTGGGTGGTGGGGGTCTGGAAGGTGAAGGAACATTTTCATCAGTTCTAAGTGCAACTCTCTCTTTGGGAAATGGGGAGTTACTTGTTGCGACAATGGTTTCTTATTTCATCTTGCTTTCTATAAGGTTTTATATTTCTATAGAATGGAGCAGAGTTTATGTTTTAGAGGAAGAAGGAAGTAGAGGTCTGTTCTTATCCCAAAGGTATCCATGGTGGCTTTAGATGACTCTTCATCTCTGAAATATGATATTGTTACCAAAAGTGAACTCTGTGTGTGCATGTGATAGTATTTTTAATTTAAGTATATTTCATTCAAGACTCCATTTCCTTGTATCTAATAAATTCAGTTTTACTCATATTCCAATATGATTTTCCAGACTAGGAGAGAAAATTCATATCCTGTGAGCATCCTTGGAAGTGTATAGCAATCAGTAGCTCTAATGTGCCTGTACTGTTCCAAGTTCTATACCTGTTTTATCTCATTCAATCTTCACAATACCTGGGACAGGTATATATTATGTATAAAGGTATATATATGGGCTTCCCAGGTGGGTCAGTGATGAAGAATCTACCTGCCAGTGCAGGAGATGCAGGAGACATGGGTTCAGCCCCTGGATCAGGGAGATCCCCTGGAGGAAGAAATGGCAACCCACTCCAGTATTCTTGCCTGGAGAATCCCATGGACAGAGGAGCCTTGTGGGCTACAGTCCATGGGATCGCAAAGCGTTGGACACAACTGAGCAATTGACCACACAACAACTCTATGTGACAGAGTAGTTCTTGGCTTAATTCAGAAAACTATTTTCCCATTAATGTAATTTGCTAAAATCTTACAAACTTTGCTATGTATGTCAATGAAGGAAACAGCTTCTTAAGAATTCCTTGCATTGACTTTCTTCAAACATGCACTACTTCCTAAAAGGACACTGGTAAGCCCAAATTCAATTTCATTAAATGTTTATGGCATTGCAGTAAGTAGAAAATCATAAGATATGTCATTATTTTATCCAAGATGACTTCATATCTTATCTGGACTCTGTTCCTCCCTTACTTGTCAAGAATACTGGAGTGGGTTGCCGTTTCCTCCTTCAGGGAATCTTTCCGACCCAGGGATTGAACCTGTGTCTCTTGCATCTCCTGCATTGGCAGATGGGTTCTTTCACCACTGCACCACCTGGGAAACCCCTCTGTCACACTACTTGGGTTCAAATCATGGCACTGCCACTTAGCAGCTATGTGAACTTGCCTCAGCTAACTAATCTGTAAGATGGACATAATAAAATAGTCTGCCTCATGGAATTATAAATTAGGTAGTGTGTGAAGTGCTTTTTAGCCTGTGCTGATGTGCTCAGTCATGGCTGACTCTTTGTGACCCCATGAACTGTAGCCCACCAGGTTCCCCTGTCCATGGAATTGTCCAGGCAAGAATGCTGGAATGGGTTGCCATTTCCTTTTCCAGCTTTTTAATCTACACCTAAATATATCCTAAATAAATGTTATCCGCTATTAGTTATGATGTTAGGAATGGACAATTTGAAGGAGGTAACCGGTTAGGGTGACTTTCCATTTCCTTATGTCAAACAAAATAAACTTAAGAGTGTAAAGCTCTGGAGGTCAACCAAGCTGGAAGTCTTGAAGAAGTTCATATATTTTTCAGGAAATCTTTATTGCATACCTACCATGAGACAAGCAATGTGCTAGGAATTGGACATCTATAGTACAAAAAATAAAAGACACAGCCTCTATCCTCATTAAACATATAGAACTGAGAAAGAAACATAAAATTATGTTTATACTACAAACTGTAAAGAAAAAATACAAGATGTATGCAGTATTTTTCATAGCATGACCTAGTTTAGATTGAAGGGGATGAGGAAGGCCTCTTTGAGAAAGTGGCATTTAAGGACTGTAGACTGGGTAGTGACTAGAAGGTTAAGAGGAAAGGGGGCTATTCCCAGTGATAGGGTAATAGAGACAGAGGTGAAATTGATGAAGTCCTGTTAATACTTCTAAAACTTAGTAATTCTTTTATATACTGGGGTATAAGGAAGGGTAAGGAATTGCAATTAAGGAGGTTAAAATGCTTAGATTATTGATAGTACCACTAACTAAAATAAAGAAAAATAAAAGATAATGAATCAGGGTTTTTTCCTTGGTGTTTTTAGGTTTGATGAGTTTTTT